CTCGTGAGTCAGGATAGTAACCACTAGGTTACGTGACTCTTACATTGTAATAGGAAAATATTGAAAACTGTGTGCACTCAAAATAGAAACAAGATGAGTACTAGTTGTCCTCGACTAGGCATCAACATCATTAGTGTTTAAAGATAACGGACTAATTACCCTTTGACCATGATAAGGAAATGTTAATCATAACAGGATAAATTTGCTACATTCTAAACAATAGAGAAGGCTCTTCTAGTTTACGAAAGAATTTTTAGTACTTATAAACTTATCTTGTCTATGTAAGTAATAAGAAAAAAAGAAAGAGATAAAATAAATTTATTGTTAATTAATAATATGAAATTATAAAATTATATTAAAAAGACTATAATAAATTTCTATCTAGTAGTTATTAATTAAAAGTGTACACAGATATATATTGAAAATATATTTCTTCCCTTATTATCGCGGAAAGAACTCCGAAACCATGTAAACAATTTTCAGACAGAAATAGGAAAGAGAAAGTGGGATTTACCGACCGATCTAATTTGATGATGAGTTAAAGACCTTGGCCTCGGAGTTAAAGACAAAGGGTGAATCTTTGTCTTTAACTCTGATTCCACACTCCGCCAACAGTGTGATTTATTATTATTATTCTTTATTTTTTCTCAGCTATTGCTGGTTTTCTCCACACTTACGGGCCGAAACCAAGTAAGTGCAGAGTGTGTGTATGTGTGTGTGCGTGTGTTATTATTATTATTATATTTTGTTATTATTATTATGATTTACAATTAGAACGCCTCAGTTAGTTAGTACCTGAGTTCGATATTGCTCATATTTTAAGTAAAATACTAGACCGAAGGCAATGGCTGTATGGGCTGAGTCCCTGTGCCTTTCATAGAGATGGGAAAAACCGAAACATAAAAAAGTTAAATTCTAAAATATATGTGACAATTCACAGATTCTAACGAAGACTAAGATTGTAAATTTTTTTTATATAATCGATATCACTCGACCTTATAGCTGACACCGGTTGGCGGGAAAATTTGAATTTGGAAATGCTAGGATATGAGGATTAGGAAAGGAAATCAGAACATTCATATTTCTTTTTTTTGTTTATATATCATAAATTTCCAAGAGAAAATTCTTTTTAGAAATTAAAAATGTAATTTAGAAATTCTAACATTACGATTTTTATGATTTATGGTATACTTTTATGTCACTTCGCTTCGTGGTCATTATATGCGGATACTACTGTATTTACCAAACCAAATGTATAAATTAAGGTAATACTATAACACTGTACTAATTTACGATCTCCTTAAACACGATTTACGAGTTATTAGTCCGCAAACAAATTACAGAGAGGTATTTACAACTGATTACGATATGATAGGGTATTATTTGATTTGGATAATTCTATCGTACTACAAATTGTACTATGTACTTATTAGTAATAATATGTATATTTTATTCATATATTGTGTTGCTAACAGGGCTATCGCCAATTTATCTCTAAAACACAATTATTTATATAGAAATATAGATGCGTAATAAGAACCTTATTACCTTACGGAATTATCACCTGGTCAACCATTGGACCAACAGAGATGTAGATAGGCGGTGCGTTTTCGAATATAATAAAATAAACATTGTTAATCTATGCATCATGTTGAAAATATATACATATATAAAATTTTATGGGTCTACACTTATGCTTATATGTAGGTATATTACGTAAGAATGAAGAGATTTTTTAAAGAAAATGTTATATATTAATCTAGTTATAAGGGCAGAGGAAGGCCGAAAAAGAGATGGATGGACTGTGCGAAAAATTATATGACAAGAAAGGGAGCGAATAATGAGATGACAACGAACAGAGATGATTCGAAGAGAGAAATATCTAACACAGATCCTAAATTATATAGGACGAAAAAATTAAAAAAATGATGAATACATAAATGTAATAAATAAATACATACAAATTAATAGTAAATGCTCAAGTATTTACTTGAGATAACATAGAGTATTAGAAGTATTTAAATTTGTTTTTTTTTAAATAGAAGTATTACTGACGAAAAACGCTTATGTAATTTAAATTTAAAGGTGAATTTGAATATATTTGAATAATGTATTAAGTAATTACTAAACTAACCATTATAAACCATTGCAAAATTTGAATGGACTTCGAAATGCTTTGACATGTTTTGCTACGGTTATTGTTTAATAAAATACCTGTATGTATTATTTAATGTACATAGTCTCTCGCAAGTACATAGAGCAAACCGCGAAAGACAGAGTAGAAATGAAGTCAACATATTACTGTCTATAATCTTTAAAAAATATATATGAAATTATTGTCAACATCTGTGACATGTATGTTACATTCATATATATATATATATATGAACACATTGTATGCATACATCTTACTGACTTCTGAAACACAGACATTTTCTATACCGACCTTAGAAGTCAGGCTCTTCATAAATGATTTGTACAAATTATGTGTAAATGAAATTATTATTATTATGCATGCATATATTATATCTGTATTGATACAATGTTATGCTGAAATTATTCAAAACAAAATAAAGAAATAAGCTAAATATTTTATTTAATGAAAAGCTATGATTTTTTTATTTTATTTAGAAGGGTTATAGTATACGTTTATAAGAATAATTTTGAATTTTGAACTGGCTGATACTCATTGTGAAGAAATAGTAATGATAATATCGTTCGAAACTTGAAATTAATTAAACAGTAATAAAATAAAGACGTAGGTACATAGAGTTTGTTTAAAATTGGAATATATTCGAATATATATGAATATATTTAGAAAATAAATTCGGTAGCTAGAGATAGAATAAGAGAAATAGATAAATTGCAAATGAATCATGATGTTTGACATTACTGTTTACCTATTCTCTTTTGCCGGCTGTCAATTGTCATTTATCAAACAAAATAATCATGTAAAATAAATCTCTACATTTATTTATACTGAACATGAATGGTTCTAAGTTATAATATCCTCATAACTTACAAAGGTTAAGCCTTTCTAATGATTTAGCAAGCGATCTCATCAATTGCAAAAGCACTTTATTACTTGCTATGGCCGTATATTACAGCTTTTAACTAGATATAAAAGACCTATGTCACATACACACTATGTTAAATATTATACTATATGTATTTGTAAATTTATAATGACTGCTAGTCGTTAAGGCACCCTGAAGTAAGTCAACTGCAACCACTATATCCATTCATTAAAAAAATGTGTTGCAGTTTTTTACATTACAAACTTATTTTTTTATATGTTGAGTTTCTTTTTTTTTAACTACTTTAATGCTGTTGGTTGCAGATGGTCTTTACAGCTTCACCGGACGATAGGAGGTGAGTACAGATGGCACTACAATCTCGCAGGACTTATGGAGAGGCTGAAAGTATTGGGAGATATAAATCTGATCACTACACTAAAAAGGGTAGCAAATATGTTACGTTACTTGTTATAATTACATTCAATAACAGTTAGTTATAAAATGTTGTACCTACAATGTAAAATGTGTCTATATTATCATCAACGCCACTAATACTTATTGCCGGGTACCTACATGTCTACTCTTTTACGTGTTCACTAAATTATCACGTGTGATAGTTCAAGTGTTTTAATGTCAAATGGTCAATATACGATAATAAATTAACAATTAATTATTTTGATTTCAATTCCTAGTTGAAAACATATTAATTGCGAGTTGTATTGAATTCCTTATTTCGCCACCTCCAAATTATTATTAAGAAGTCATTATTTTATTCTAGTCATTTCCCCGGATATTAGACAAATTGTGTATTGACGAAAATTGTAATAAAATCCATGTAATTCTCAAACATCACACAGAGTCATAAGAACAATATTCAAAGACATATCATAACAAATAAGTTCTACAGGTACAAAGTGTAGTATGTACAGATACATATAGAAAGAACACAATATTCAACAGAAATCTCGGATATATGTTTAACACTAAACAGTTGAAGTTTTATTACATTAAATATACATGTATTACATAAAGATCGAAACGAAAACAATAGGGTTATTTATTGTTAGTATAAAATCTTGCGCTCTATTTACCTTTTTTTGTTCTATGGGGAAATCCTAATGGGTTCCTGTTTGTCATGTTATTAACCATACCGTCCCGACCTTTATAGTTATACTCATGAAACTGAAAAATATTACGTGATCACGTGACCACACTGCTCGTGTTATGTGAATTTCTATTTGTAATTTTTTACCTGTTATATATCCTCATAATTTATACACGTAACTTCATTGATATTTACAGAGATGTATTCATTAACATGTTATATATACAAAAGTTTATATTATTTCTAAACACTGTGTAATTGATAGAGTCGGGGTTGGAAGAGATTACTGGTGACCTCATTACTATACTAAAGGTCCCCTAGTAAACTATAATGTTAATTCCTGTTCAATTCGCCAGAAAGAGCTAACTTCATGTTTATCCTAATATAGTCCACTGATGCCCCGCCAGCATGCCCTAGAGCAAGCGAGTAGATACACGATTCCTTATTCGACCATAAAAATTTTGTACAGTATTTTTCTCACAAACATGTAAAAAACAATAACACTTTCGCGGTTATAATATTCAGATGTCTACTTGCGATAATCTAGAGATAATTAGAATGAGAATTTAATTACGGCTCTATGCAAGGAATTTATCATTGAATTGTACTGTTTATAAATTACACAATAGACTTAGATGTTGTACAGTATAATGTTTTTATAAGGGAAGGTAAACATAAGATCGAGTATTTAGAATTGTAGTCGAAGAATATAATTGTGCCTATTAGTTTACCTTTTCAGGACTAAACGACTGAATAGATATTAGAAAGTTTAACTTAAAGATAGATTCTACCACGTGCACAAACATTGGTAATATTTCTTTAAAAAAATCAGGCAACTCACAGATAGTACCTTATAAAACATATAATAAAATTATTACCTTTATTGAATCCCAAGCTGACAGTGCAAGTTATGTTCGTGAAGGAGATGTCGACGGGCTGGCTTTTAGACATTGTGCTGAAGCTCTGCGTGGTCTGACTTTGATTTGATGACCCTTGGGCCGGCTGTGCAGCCTCGAAGGCAATACTGGCATTGTCCTTCGTATAGGTCACACTACTTTCTTCAACAATCTGCGCGCCGGCGAGCATGATTGTTTATATCACTTTTATTATATATATATGTATAAGGCGCGTGCGCGTCAGTTTGCGTCGCGCGGTTGAATGCGCAAGCGCCTTGTGTTCGCGTAAGTGAAGCGAACTATCGGCTCCTTTGTCCAGCGCGCTAATAATTGCACCCGTTTGTTCAACTACAAGACGATTTGTAATTGCGATCTTATCATTACGCCTGCCTGGGAAGTGGGAACAATACGCGTTGTATGATTTAGCTGTGACCCGGGACTTTGTCCGCTTTTTTTCGAATATGCTTACGCTGGCCGCAGCTGGCCTACGGCGTCACTGGACGGAAATGGGGGCGAGCTCAGAGGGCACTCCAAACTTTCGGAAGAACTTTTCAGCTGTAGGGAGATTCCTGACCGACGGACACGATTTCATTCTGAGAGCACTGTCAAGATATTACCTATTTCTAAATAGGTATTATAGGTATTTTATAGGTAGAAATTTCTATATGTCTTTCAAAATATGTTCCATTTGAGTACCGAGCAGAGTGCATTGAGTAACAAACTTTCACATTATGTTGTCATAACCAATTTTATTATTGAGTAACCCTCTCTGTTATCCCCAGGTTATGAAAAGAACATTAGAAGTCAACTTACAGTATAAAGTTCCTTTACAGACAACTAACACTCATCCAGAGATTTAAATAAAAACACAGTTGTGGACATTCCTCATTTTGAACAGATTGAAATATAAGTACTTTCGAGTTTGGTCAGTCATGGTCCATTATATAATTGTAATGGCAAAGAATTGTGAATCATAGAACTTAGTGTGTAACTGCAATTCATAAATGTTTTATACATAATCGCAAACCGCTTGACTGTAATATATTACAAATGAGAATTGTCAGCAACATGAAATTACAGCTTTTCTTCTAGTTTTATATCAATGTAGTTTCAAGGTATATAGATCATGAAGCTGATAATGGTCATGTTTCAGATGCAACATTTCAAAAATATATTTTACTTTTTATTCGGGGCCTGTAGGAATATGTTTGAATCTACTGGTAGAGATGGCTCTACCTAAAAAGCACTTATTTTTATACTTTATTTTGTTTGTGAAAAATCATATCTTTGCATAAACGTAATACAAACAGACAGAGTCACTTACAAATAATATATATTATTGATAACATATATCTAATCTTCGATTATGCAATTAGTTATCTGTAACGCAGATCTATATCCTGGTGATATTTTTTATACTAATTTACTCTACGATTTCTTCGATATATGACTACATGGTTTTTATGTAATCAGATCCCACTCATACGTTGCTATTGTAGAGGACTAAGATACCATACGTCTCAATATTCACTGTCTAATTCGCGATTTCTCATAGTGTATTCTAACCACGACTGTTCTAATATTGTCCCTGATTTTGTGAACTGTGTGTGTACAACAATGTAGGAATTATTAATTAAACTGTTTCCCTTATTTTAGTACCGTTTGTAGAGATCACAAACGGTACTAAAATCAGGGACAAATTTTAATATATTTTACTCTGCTTGTTATTATAATAAGTTTTATTAATAATTACTACGACAGTTATTATCTTTTTAAATATTATTAACTATATTAATATTATAAAGGGAAACGATTGGTGTGTTTGTGAAGAATATGCACCAAAACTTCTAAAATTCTTTTACTATCGGAATGATAGTATATCCAGTGTGTTACATTTATGACTACTAAAAAATTTGAAATCCTTCCTCCCATGCGCAGCCGGGACGGGGCTCTGGTACTTTAAATATAGTACAAATAATTGAAATGATAAAGCCCACAGTAGGAACTGGCCAGAGGGCCTTATATAGTGTAGTAGGTAGGTACTTACATAATTAGATTATGACAGTAAGGCATACATAATACCACGAATACGAAATCTATGTTATCTTACGAATTTCTTCCGGGCTACAAACCACATTATAACCAAAGACACTACCAAAAGCAGGAGAGACAATTGAATTGTATTTTTTGGATCAAAACCAAAACTTATTCATGTACACCATTTTAGCCGCTTGTGAACGGTTTTTTTAATATTTTTTCCCTGCCGTCCAGTTCAATGTACAGATCAACAGAGAAGAACTGACAAGAAACTCAACTGAATTTCTAAATACCTACCCTCTAATAGAAATAAAATTCTTAGTTTTAGATGCAGTACCGGTACTACAAAACCTGTAAAATTAGTATTATCGCTCTAATATATATTGTTAATTAAAGCTGCACAATGTCACCAATTAATAACATCGCAATGAAACAACAATAATGTTGTGTTTTATTTCCCGACCTTTGATCTGCAGTAGGAAGATGTAATAATTATCATTGCAGCGACATCTGGTAACATAATACGGTAATAAATGAAATTATTATTTCAATACATAGTTCTAAAAAGTAATAATAGATGGCACTGTTACAAAAATGTCTCAATAATGATTTTGTATTGACAATTCCCAATATTATCAGCAGATGGAGCTCGTGTTATGAAATTTTTCACAACGTACGTACAAGAACTATGTAATTGGTATATAAATAAATTATTTATATAATTTTGTATTTATTAACAATTTTAATATTTTAACGTATAACAATTATTAAAACAAACAAATTAATTTCATAAAATCAACTCACATTGCTAACTTCTACATTTATAGTAGATAAATAATATATAAATTGAAAAGACCACTTTCCAGATTACACCGCACATAATTATAATAATCATAATAACTTGGAACAATTTTTTAACAAAATAGTCTTATGTAGACTTTTTTGATTGAATACTAGCTACTCGCCCCGGCTTCGCACGGGTGTAGGTACATGTATTATGTATATACCTTCCTCTAGAATCAATCTACCTATTAAAAAAACGGATGCCAAATTCGTTGCGTAGTTTTAAAGATTTAAGCATACATAGGGACAAACAGCGACAGCGACTTTATTTTATATAATTTAAATGAGATATAAGTAGCTAGAATTATAAAATTTAGTCTTAACATTGGTGTTAAATAAGAAAAATCGTTTCACAGGTGCAAAAAACGAAAAATATATAAATTTGTTTATTTATTTATAAAATTTCAAAGCACAAATAATAAAGTACATGTGGTACTTAACACCTTAAGAGAATTATTAATTAATTTTGGAATTTAATTAATTAATTTACTTCTTCATATATAAAAATATTTCAGGCGGTGCTGATAACTAATGGTTCCTGGCATGCTGACTATCATCCTCCACTGGTGCAGCGAAAGTGTACGCCGCTACCTCAGACAGATACACAATTGTATAATAATTCATTGAAAATAATTATATTTATCTAGTAACGGAAACTTAACTCACTCGCTTGGATCATATTGAGTTCCTTATTAAAATACAACAAACATCTTGTCAATCAACTCATGTGAAAAGCCAAACGACAGAAATATGAAATGTATATTGTCAAGAATAGAATACTAATTACCATTATTCAAATATAATTAATATAAACATGTACAACCTTTTAACATGCGTACTTTTTCAATAGCTCATTCATTTCATTTGCTCTTCAGTTATTGAGTTACTAAGAATAAATGGGTCAACATTGTAAAGGCAGTTATAAATGGTGGCTGAAGGAAGAATTCTTAAAAAAAGAAGAACATCTTTGGAAAACTCCTTTTTCAGAAAATACCTGTAACCATTAACTGATTGTCCTAATAATTTATGTGACAAAATTTTTAAAAGCATACTGTATTTTTTAAAGGATGATAACGGAATGTTCCACCCGCCTACTCTAACGGTTTACGCTGGCTGGTCAGTTAGCCTATCTTGACAAATTCTCCAAGAATTTGTCATTAAGTCATGCTTTAGTTTCCAGGGGGAACAGTGTGGAGTTAAACCTGATGTATGTATGTATCATACATTGTTAGCAATGGCGTCAACAGTCCACGTTACTAACAACAGCATACTGTTATCCCAGATGCTATAGTCACTACTTTCTTTTAATAATCTAATGTTGATCTTTACAACTTCACCGAATGAAAAAGTCCAGAGTAGATGGTACTGCCACTGCGGGAAAGGGTTTATAGTGCAGCTAGTTGATATTAAACTCATTATACCTACAACTTCTATTCGTGATAGAGTTCGGCCCAAGTTGTAGTAATTGCGAATCCTATTCATTTTTAGGGGATTGGCATCTTAAAACAAAGACTATAGCATTATATTTTTTATGTGAATAAGTAGGTCAATAAAAAAAATATTCTTTTAGGAACAAACAAATAATACTTTTCGATTCTTTTTACATTGTACTGAAGTCCTTATTGAATACATTAAACCCTAAAAACAAATTATGTATCCGTTGTATTCATTTTAAATGTCATGAGTCGTCAGTTGTCATCCGGTGGAACGTTATATACCTATCATCCGGTCCCACATTATATATTTAACAATACGTAGTAACAGTAATTAGTAGTTTAATAGGTACATACCTGTGCCGACATCACCAAGGAATAGAATATAAATAATCTTTAATCAAATAAACTTAGTATAAACATTTTTGAAAAGTCATATATTTTTTATTCTACAACTAATTCAAAACGCAGGCACATTGCGGGAAGAATGAGCAAGAAACTGGCGTGCTCTATTACATAAATGTTATTTAAGAAGAAGGAAGCATGCGATAATCCACATAGAAACCGCTATGTACTCATAGACATATAAAAATATCCCATATCATTTATCACTCTTAAGTTTTATAATAAGCCTATAAAAGGTCTTTTATAATTCCTTTAAATCATTTTTTAGGTAGGATTAAGATACACTCTGGCAGTTTGTTGTAAAACCTTACACAATTCCCATAAAACCAAATACTAACTTAACAAGTACTCATATCTTTGTGAATTTTATATATTAGTCAAATATTTGTGTATCCTATATCCCTCTAATACTAACTATACTACTATACTATTATATTAACTATACTATTATACTACTATACTAATAATATAATAAAGATAATACTGTGCCAACATAAATATTAATGTTTGTATATAGCACACAAGCTGACGACCCACCATAGCAAATGTTCACCAAAGCCCACTTACATGAACAGCATCACGTTATTACGTGCCAGTCGCAATTTTTTTTATTTTATTAATTTAATTCAGGCCCGTATTATAAATATCTTATAGACTAATATACATGAGAATTAATAGTAAAATATAGGTCCAAATTGTCTCTATAGTCACGGTACTGAGGACGGCAATACTACGGCCTATACTAGTCCTTCATGAAAGTGGGCAGCATGTTGTTCCTGGGCCACGAACGCTTTGAAGCTCGCATCGTGATTTGATTCCAGCTGCGTCACCCTCAATATCAGGTTACTTTTGGTCCGGATATAGCCACAATGTCCTGTTCCGCAATACTAGGTACATGCTATGATAAGACATATTTGATCTCCGAAATAACAACTATTTCGGAGATCAAATATGTCTTATCATGAAATTTCACTGCCTAGCCTCAGACTACAACTGTTAAGAAAGCTTACAGCTGCTGAATATCTGAAATATATGAGAGTGATACGCAGACTATTTCTTACAACGACCACCACTGTAAAACTCGAAATCAACTATCGAAAAGTAAAGCAGTGTGTTATATCGCTACATCACCAAGGTCATACAAAATGCTACATGCATCTGTGGTTTAACCTTACAAAACCTATCTAGTAAACCTACCTAACTAATAAGTAGTTGTAGTAACTTGCCTTGTAAATACAAATGTGAAAACCGCATGCAATTCCATGTTATTTTAATTTACATACACAAACATACATTATATATACAGATTATAGAAACATTTTTACATTCTAACTCCCTGTTCGAATAAACATTCTGTGCATAAGAGAATGAAACCGAAATTACCTCTATACAATATTGAAACGTAATTCTAAAACAGTTTTTCATAAAGAAAAATTAGGTTCGAAGTTAAATACTAACTTCTAACCTAATTTTTATTTATAAGAAACCTTTAAAATGAAAACAGCAAATCCCTTATAAAATATGCAATACCTACTTAAAAAAAGTGGGCCTAAAACTGCAGATTTTGACTTATTTAAACTTTAAATAATAAATGAGCTGTACATATTTTTTTCGTCGTGTTTTTAGTGCACATATACCATTCAATTGCATTTATTATTATTGCATTGCATTTATAAGTGAAAATCGTATTCTATCTCCGAGTATGATTTGTATGCATTTATCTTCGGTTCGAGTTTATCTTAATGGAAACATTTTCTGGGTCACATTATAAGTTCAAGAGATTCTTAAACGTATAGTACATTGAAAACATTAGTTGAAAATCGTAATAGATCTTAGAACCTAACTTGAAGTTACAGTGTAGGTAAAATTTCCTTCTATGGAAATTAACGTCTGTATTGATTTTATTTATGATATACTTGAAAGGCCTTGGTTTTCCTTTAACAAAAAATAATTAATTAACGGTATATTTCTTATATGTATTCGCCTCATAATCAGGAGGTATGCAATTTACAATTTTTTTTACACACAAAATATAAACCGAATATTAAATGTTATATCATTTCACGTAGAGTTGTTACTCTACAATACGTAGGGTATTCATTGTTTTCCAAACTATTATACCTGTCAGCCGTAGCTACCCGTTACGGCTTCACTACACGAACATGGAGGCAAGTGCTGAGTGCACTCCAAACCCGCGGAAGTACTTATGGAGCGGCTGAAGGCCAACTCCTTACAGATACAACCTTATTAAGAACACCACTAGGGGCTCGTTCGTTAATAATGATTGCCATTCGAATAGGATAGAGATTCGAGGTAAAATGGTCAAAGTGAAATGAAGTGATCATCATCAACAACATCTGTTATATTTTGTAAAGGAAACTAAAATAGTCATTTACAGTTGATAAAAGTTTACACAAGCATTCTAATTCCTTTTAGCTCCGTCCTACTTTATGTCGGGGATCGGGTCTCCTAATTTTTCCGCAGCGATAAGCTTGCTCATGCTGGTCCACCAGGTGTCTGGAGAACGTTCAGGTATTCTTAAGGCTTAAGTATACCTGTACGCAAGCATTAAAGATGGAAAACAAAATGTGTAATTAGTACTGCTTACAAAAACTGTTCCCTAAGAAACTTAATTATATTACATTTATTTATATTTATCAACAATCCTAATTAAACTAAGAAATTCCAATCTAGATTAATACAAGTAATTATATATTATGAGTTATTATGGTATCTAAATAAAAAAAGATAACTACATTGTAAGTCCTTCAATTAATTTTCTATCACACACAACTTTAACATACATATCATAATTTTCCTGTTATTAACATAAATAGTTTATCGGGAGTTAACACGTGTCACTTTATGAGCTTCGGAATCTCGGCCCATCATTCTCTGCTGCGATGCTGCGTTTAAAGTAAATAATAATAAAGAAATAACCGTGGACAATTAATACAATGCCATCTAGTCTAGTCTAGAGTTTGTGTTATGGATTTAGATTTTTTTTGTAAATACATACATAATATACATAGAAAACACCCTAATCGATACAAACAATCATATTCATAAATATCAAAATTTGCACCGGTGAAGAATCGAACTCGCGACCATCGAAAGTAAAGCGGTGTGTTAACTGCTAGACCATCGAGGTCGTCGTCGCTTATTGCAACCTACTATTCTTTTATAACTAAGAAGCTGGTAAAAAAGCCTATATACACACATGAGCTGCGAACATCACGTTACCATGACACCCGTGATGACTCATGCGTAACCATTATAGAGGATTAAAACGTCATGCTTTCTATGCTGTATTTGCCCTTGCCCTTATCTCTTCAACCGAAACATAAAGCAAGCTACTTGTAGGCTTAAATATATGAGACTGAGGTAGTCTTATGGTTGTTAGCCAAAGTTGCCATGAATTTATCACGATGGTTTCCAGGGAGAACCACCTGGTCAACCTGACATGGTACATCGCTATCAATGAAGTTATCAGTCCATATTACTCACAATCCTCTTTCTTCCAGACTGAGGTAATCACGCAGACCACTTTCTACAATGTCCACTAAACAATTCCTCTCAGTCACTCAATGTTTGACTGGAAGAAATCCCTCTTTTGAGATAAGTCCGCCATTGTACTCATTTATTCGATAAGCCAATTTTACTACAAAAGTATTACAAACAAACAAACTTTTTCCATAGTCTACTAATATTCTATCTACATTTATTATTCAGGATAAATTTAAATATTTCTAGAAAAGAAATCGTATAATAGTGTACCTTGAAAAAACGATGATTTTTTTATGTTATCTATTTTATTTATATGCAAAAATTCCTTAAAGTTTTATATTATTTAATATCCAAAGACAAAGAAATTTATTTACTCAGTATTTTAAGTAAGGAACCCTCAGTATATCATCTTTAACTAGCCCCAACTCGTGCATAACCGGTTTTTCTTATCACAAGTCCTTAAGTACATACAATGCCAATAACTAAATTGGGCTATTTATTTTCAAACGTCCTTCAGCATAAACAAATATGTACATGTAGTTTAAATGCTTTTATGTTATTTAATACCTAATTAAGGTTGTTAAGAGCCACACATAATATTATTGATATTGCAGGTCATTGTTAGTGTATAATCAAATTCCACACGACTATGAAACTAAGCATGAAAGAACTTGCAGTCTTTAAATGGTAGCCACTGAACGCGCTCGCGTTTCACGTACCTTACTCTATACAAAACGTTATCGCGGCAATATAATTCTGCGAACAAAACGATATTTTAAATAAATATTATACATAGTGTTTTAGTAAAAACTTTTGTGTTAATAGTTATCAATTAAAATGACTAGTGTACTGAAAACACTGCAGGGTGTAAGAAGGAAGATGAAAGAGTCTGATAATCAATGCAGGACGCTGCAGGTGACCATGCCAAATCTTTCGCATACCCCAGCAGATATAGAGTTCAACATTACTCTGAAAGTGTCTCAAGGGATGATGTCTAAAAGTAAGTCGGTATATTTTTCCATTTTATTATTATATTCCTTGAATAGATTTCCTGCATGATCAAGTTTGATATAATGTGCAGTAGTTTTTTTTATATGCGCAATAATGCACATGCCTCTTTATAAGAACCCGTGTTTAGTAGGTATATTACGCATATTGTTTACTCGTGTAAGTTATATTCCATTCAAAAAAATTAATATTGTCCCTAAAATCCATAACAAAACAAAATTACTAAACACATACTTTCTATATATTAGAAACATATACTGATAAATATAGGAAAAGGCCTAAAATGTTTATAATTTATTTTTGAACTCCTCAAATCTGGTACATTTGTCGAAGTTTAGTGACACAGCAATTTTTATAATATTTTCGAGCAGGGTATTGTAGAAAATCAAAATGATAATTAAACAGGTCTACAAAATCTAACAATATAGATACTCTTGAATAAAACTATGACATAGAGTTTGTGTTCATTTTGAGTTCTTTCCATCGGTGATAGATAATAATCTTAATGAACGGGTTTAGGTAGCGAACTCTGAAAAAGGGCGAGCATAATAGATCTATATAGTTAGCATTGCTACAGGTCTAAGCACATGACAATAGCCCAAACACCCCAATAAAAAAATGAAGTTATTTATACAAAAAATATAATAATGACGGACATTTTAGTTATTTCTGCAAGCCAAGATCTCTGTATTAATATTTTTTTCCTTGCCGACGTAGAGTACAGTTATGTGTTCAAAACATGTTTGTAAAATTGTTTTCAAGATTCTTTATTTGTTTTAAATTTTATTTAGCGTTTTGGACAAAGGCTGTAAACAATGCATAAAACCTTTCCAAATTTATAACAACACCATTTGTTAATTGCTGTAATAATAGAACCCTGATAGATTAACGTTCGTACGTGCTTTCTAATAACAATTTTTTTGTTCTTAAGATTACGTATTGAAACCCTAAAAACACAGAATTAACTCTGTAATTGTAGTTGTAGTTGTTGTAACATAATTCTGAATGTATCCTTGAACATTAAAATTTATCTAATCTATTCATCTATTTTATCTGTTTGAAAATTTTTCCAGATTTTGTTTTTATTTGATGCATAGCAGGACTTTGATAAGATTACCTATCTCCCGATATATATATATATATACTAACCTATATGTATGATAATTGTAATTAAAATATAAATTTCGTATGTCCATACATTGTCATGTATAGAAGATAAAAAGAACTAAAATGAGGATGTTTTGTCGCAAAATACTATATATACATATATGTTTATAATTAATAATATTTATAAGGATAAATAAATATATATATATATATATATTAAGTGCATACATACAATACTTGCTGAATTATAACGCTATGAAAGAGACGAATCAGCACATCGAGATAGAGACACCGCGCCGGTTCCACCCACATACAAGTTTTTTTACTACAGACTTTTTTATACATAACAAATTTACTTTTAGTAATCAAAACAACATTCCGTAATTCACAGTCAATGATAATGATAAGCCGACAGGAACATTGTAGCTAATAAACCTGATGTCATCCGAAGGAACCGGTTGAATACAAGGATAGGGATGTTAATACAAAAAAATACTCGATACTGACGTTCCAAGTATTTTTGACTTCAAATCCATATTGCGATACTAAGAATATTAAGTAAAAAGAAACTTCATTATTTCGGAATAAAAAAATAAACCTTGTGTTTATTTTTTGTACTACTACCTAAAAAGTCATTGAAAATATAGTTAACCGGGTCTTAACAGATATATCGAGACCACGGCTACTGTAACCTAGTTGATATGTCGAGAGAGGTAATCTTTATTTACCATAAAATTATTTGTGTTCAGAGCGGCTTCTTTATATCAATAATTTATTAAGAACACGAAAGTTAATAATGATAGGACTCAATACCCAATTACGTAGACAGAGGTCATTCAAAATGCAAAATGACAGGATAATTGGATACCGTTTAATTCTTTTTATATTCCTATAAAGCAGTTCAAAAGGCATAGATATGAGTAAGTTATCGATACTTTCGGTGTACTCATCGAAATGTACTCATGTATTATCGAAAGATGATTTTAATACTACTTAAATACTTAATTACGGTACCGATACCTAGTATCGATACATCCCTAACACCAGACGGCGCTCGTCGATTTTACCGTTCTGTTTTACCAGAATCTCGTGCAAAAAAAAGGACGAATTCAGTACCTTGACCTTCAGGTAATTACGAGATTCGCGCCATGTGTATTATATTAATTGTAATCGATTGTTAAATTGACGATCATTGTCTCGATAATTGTATCAGTTAATGATCTTAACAAGTTGTTCGTTAACAACTAATGATTTGAGTCGTGGAGTGCATTCAGAAGACAGAATTCCTTAACACAGTGTGTAATTGCCAGTATATTCCTGATTCTGTGTTGTTAATGTATATCCTTATTTTGGGAAGGAACTGACTCCTGGTATACGGCTTATGTTAGCTTGTGAGTTAGGACTATACACTGTTGAAGGTTTAAATAAATAAATAACGGAATAGCCCGCCAGCGTAAACCGTTAATGCAAGCGGTGCATGTGCACTTGCACTAACGGTTTTGCTGGAGGGGCTGGACACCAGTGGAGGATGATAAGATGAACATGAGATCAGATCAGTTAGGTCATCGTAACAAATTCACCAGAATTTTCTCATTGATGAAGTATGGATTTGAAAGTATGGTGCTATCCGTATACGCATATGCGAGAACGCCATTGCCTTTTCCTGATACTAAGGATTATTGTCCCATAAGGTCAGTTATAAGACTACAGTAATTAAGAGAATTTGGACCCATGGGGAATTTTTTATAGATGATAATGGTGCACCCGACTGCGCTAACGGTTTACGCTAGCAGGTCACCAGTGGAGGATGTTAAGATCAATATGAAGTCAGTTAGGCCAAATTCACCAGAAAATCTAATAGGATGATTTCCAGAGGGAACCGCGTGGAAGTCAACCTGACATAACACATTGCTAGCATTGGACTCATCAGTCCACATCACTCAACAACCCCCTTCCCCCACCACACTAATATTATAAATTTGTGTGTACGTTTGTCAACTGGTTACCTTTTACCTACTAAACGGCTGAATGGATCTTATTGATATATGGCATGAAAATAGATCTATGAAAATACATGTATTACGGGGATGGACATAGGCAATCTTTTATCTCTAATATAAAAGGTATGCAATTTTGAAAAATCCTGATTTGATGGCAGACAATATTAATAAATCAATGAAATATATCGACAAACAAGTCGTAATATAACTTGTAAATACACAGGTATATTGTGTACAATATAGGTATAAAATTTTATTTATTGCAATACAAACAATGCAACGCAAGCAATTCTTTTAAGGTAATCAATTTTTGTTAGGTAATCTGTAATATACACCACATTACAGCGAATTACCTAACAGTAATTGATTAAATATAAAGAATTGATTATACGTTTTAGGTTTTACACAAATTTGAATACCTAATTCTTATTAATAATCATAATTAAATTTATTTATAATTATAATGATGTACCCGCGGTTTCACCCACGCGAAATTTATAGCCTATATTTTATTCTGATGTATAAGCTATATTATAGCAAAGTTTCATTAAAATCTATTCGGTGATTTTTACATGAATGAGTAACAAACATCCATCCGCACACAAACTTTCTCGTGTATAATATTAGTAAGTTTTTTCTCAATAACATAAAAGAAAAGATTGTGTGAACACACAGAACTGACCTTTTCGTTTTATTCTGGTAGGGACCCCTAAAAATTACTTGACGGAACAATATTTCTGATAATTATGTTAATATATCTAATCTGTACATTTTTCTGTCCGTCCGCGAATTTTCCGGATTTAGGTATGTTGATGAGCAAACAATGGATAAGATTACCTATCTGGTAATCTATTTACTTATACAAAAAAGTATGTTTTGTTTGTCGGTACATTATTTAATTTGCAAGAAAAACCAAGAATATATAATTAAAATAGTGCGCATTGTTTGTTAGGAATGTGGTATGCTTGTTGACATTGAACCTAAGGTAAATTTTTACTTGTATATTATATAGAGGAAAATTTGTAAGTTTGGATGTTCGGTCTATACTCCAGAACTCAGTAGTACCGGAGACGACCGATCCAATTGTCAAAATTCGTGTTCCTTAACACATTTATCCAAGGAAGTCTATAGGCTATACAACATCACGCTATGGTCAATAGGAGCGGAGCTGCAAAGAAAAATATTGTAGTAATTAGAAAATGTGACGAATAGTTAAGGTAGTAAATGTAAATTATACTAAAATCATATATAAAAAACTATCTATCTGTGTTATATGAAACAAACATACAAAAATGTTATGAAAAGCATTTGCTTTTATCGCCATCGTAATTATAAATACAAGTTAAATGATACGTACGATGACTAATATTATTAATAAATACTTTGTTATTTTTATGACTAAAAAAACTAATTATCGATCGTGATATATATTATTATATAATTTAGATATCGATCACCTTGACTTATGTTGAATGCAGCTCCTTATATAACTCGTAGTATTTTATGTTTATTTTTATTTGTATCGAAAAATCTGTCTCAGGTGATAACATCTTTTTTTAATAATTATAGGTGCTAGAAGTTCGTAAAATATAGAGAACAACACTATTTAATTCAATTTTTTTATTTCGTGGTATCTCTATTTACTTTGAAAATAATACTAATTCATTTTCGTGGGATTATGGTCTCTCTATTTATTTTGATTTTGTTACACTAATCGTTTCAGAATAAAATTGTTATTAAATGAAGTAGGTATATTATGTCACGCGATTCCTTGTGAGCAGTAAAATAAAGATTATTATAATATATTACTTACTAATTTGTCAGTAACATATTGTTAACACACACAGCCGATAATGAGGATATCAATATTATGTTTTAAAATTTG